CCTCAGACCTAGATTCTGCTCTCGCTGGTGCAAATCAGGAGCTGCTCCACTGATGTCAAGGGGATTGCCCCAGATTTAACCAAATGGAAAAGAGAACAGAATTTGGCCCTCAGAAGCCAAGCATGGAAAGAAGAAACTGAACTGATTCAGTGGTGGATTCTCACTGGTAAATTCTCTATTACATGACCTTTTGTCCTCTCTTTTGTGCTGTATGAATTCCGTTGCAACCTGTGTCTCGGCCTGTATTTTGTAAAGTGTCACGTGTATTTACAGCACTGAGATAAGTAATAATAAATAATAATAAATTAAAAAACAGCAGTTTAGATCAGGTTATGTCTAAGCGGTGTGGTAGTGTAGATACTACATTGACGGAAGGGTTTTCCTGTTGTTGTCATTAATTCACCTCTCCGAGAGGCAGTAACTAGGTTAACAGAAGAATCCTTCTATCGTCCTCGCTGTGTCTACACTGGGGATGAGGTTGACCTAAGTATGGTGCTCAGGCATGAAATGTTTCGCAGCCCTGAGTGATGTAGTTAGGTCAACCTACGTTTCAGGTGTAGACCAGGCCTTCTCCAGTGAATGTATCCCTTTGCAACCTGTGCCTGAGACGCAATCCTGCTCCCATTGTAGTCAGCGGCAAAGCTCCCTTGACTTCAATGGGAACCGGATCAAATCCCTGCACTTTATCTTGTCATCCCCTGGAGTTTCAGATCGGTCTCTCCCTCCCATCCCGCTATCACTATTTCCTGCGCCCCTGTTCCCAAACAATGACGAGCACTCCAGGCTCCAGCTGATACAAATCTAATGATTGAAAAAAATGTTACCAATAAACCCAACCTCTCAGTTTCAAAGCTGGGAAGAGTTAATCCTCCTGCATAAGGCTTTTCATTGCTAGTAGTTCTTTTTCCTGAGTAATTGCCAAATAGCTTCACCAAACTTGTCTCTCCAGGAGTCAGGCCTGATCCAAAGCACACTAAAGTCAATGGACAGACTGCCACTGACTTCAGATAAGGCCCCTAGTGTGCTCCTCCAGAGCGAACACACTCCCGCTCTTAGAGCCCATGTATTTAAAGGTAGGGATTTCAGTGTAAAAAAAGGAAGCTTCAGCTTTATATTATTTCTTGCAAGGAACTTTAAGCATCCCTGAAAGCACCAATAGGCACAATCAGTTGTAAAGACATCCCTCTAAAAGCAATAATAACTCAAACCTAAACCCGAAAGAGTCAGAATGGATATGAAATTTGGCTCTCTGTAAGCTCTCAGGGCCTGAAACACTCCATCTCCCTGATTCAGCATCTCACACATGGAAATGACATTATCTGCACACAGTGGACATCAAAGAGGGAATGGATCCCACATCCTGGGAAACTAATAGGATTTATTTGGTTCTCTCCCCCCACTGGGACGGGGCATAAGAATGTATTTATGTATCTACATCCCTCTCTGTCTGCATGTTTTATACATTTACACAGACATATTTTATACCCATAATCACCACACACACGCACAAAACCCCAACCTCCTCACACACATTAAAATCATGTTGTAGGTCCAATTTGAGTCTGCAGAAGTGGGGAAATTCGGCTCAAGGCTCCATCTGTTTTGCCTCCGGGGCTAAAGCTATATAAAGTGAGACAGTCAGTGCTATGAAATCCCTCTGTGGTCTCATCTCAGAAAGCCCTTGTTTTTGTGGATGCAGGTGGGCCCCAGGCCTCTGTATTTTCAGCACCTTGAGCAGGGATATTTAACCATGCGACTTGTATTGATATTAATGAAAGTCATGTGGCTTAAAAAAAAAAACACTGAGGAATTAAGTAGTTTATTGCTTTAATTCTTAGAGAACTGGAACCTGTTTTCTAAGGGTTTTGATTGGCTGCGAGGGGATGCTCCACCTGGGATGAAGGGCAGTTTCTGGCAGATGTCATAAATCAGGATCAATCAGTTCCGCTTGGAAAAGCGGCTCTGTATTTCTGTTATCGTGGGATTCCATGCTTACGGTGGCACTGACTCCAGATCAAATGTGCCCCGTTTATAAGCAATATGATTTTTTAAAGGCTCAGGACCACAAATTCAAACTGAGAATCAACACACTGAGTTCTTTCCTTCTCATGCATCATCACCAGCAACAGAGGTTCTGCAGGCCAAATTCCACCCCTCAGTGACAGTGGGCCAACCCGACTGTCTTCAGATTAAGCTATCAGAGACACCTGTGCCAACTACCATCCGCCAGCAGGCAAGATTACACAGGTGTAGTTGCTTAACCCAGCAATCAGGTTAGAGTAAACAATGCTGATGATGGTGCAAATGGAGGAATAGCACCCTACTAGCTTTGCCAGTTCTGCAGGGTGAGCAGCAGGAAAAAGCAGCACAAGATTACTTTAGTCATTATAGCCAGCAGATCTGACTCTGAACATGAGCTGGGAGCAAACCTGTGATACGAAGGCGCCATTTCACAAAGTCACCTTGCATCGTGGAACCCCATTTTGAGGGCTCTGGGTTCTATTTGCTCTTTAACAGAAACTGGCAAGGCCTAGTAGCATCAAAGGAGTTGCATGAATGAATCCTGTTGGAAAATAGATCCCCAAGGACCAGAAATAGCTGAGTTTTTCCCCCTCGGAAACAGCAAATTAAATTAAACTTAAAACATGAGACTAGTTCTAAACCCATGCGAGAGTGTGTGCGTGCAAACGCTTCTGTGAGAGCAAGTGTGCATAGGTGTGAGAGTGGGCCTGCAGCATGTGCTTCTCTTTGGCCATCCTGCCTTCATGGAGGCAGTTCTGGCTGCAATATTGTTGCTTATGTTCTGTTTCCAAGACAATAAGCCCTCTGTTATGAAGGCAATGATGTCTGTGAGCACCAACTTTTTACTAGGGCCCAGTGAGATCATTGTGATCTGAACTGTGTTAAGTGAGGAAACTTTTTCCCAGATAATTATCTGACCCCATGAATTTGCAGGAGTGAAGTGCCCATAATAAAGGCAGTAGGAATACATTTCATTTCTGTTTTTTAAAAAGGCAGACAAATTAGCCTTTGGTGGTTGCATTTGCATGGGTGTTCATGGGTGCAGGGTAAGTGGACCATCCGCATTATTATCATTACCCCGCATCAAAGGCATCAGACAGCACATAGCCTGGATCTTACCAGTGGATGCTAAGAGAAGATCCACCAGCTAAACGAGATAGAGGAAGAGCGACAGAGACCTAAGGAAAAGGCCTCCCTATAATAGAAATAGGAAGTGGTCCTCTAATTCCTGTGATTAGAGCAGAAATGGGAAGTCAGGACTCCTCGATCCTATTCCTGATTCTACCACACACTCACTGCGTGACCTTGGGCCAGTCACGTCCTCGCTCTATCTCCAGTTCCCCACGTGTAAAACTGGGAAAATAAAATACCCTACCTAACCCTACCAAGGGTTTTGAGATGACTGGACTGAACGTGCTGTGGAAGTGTAAAGCATAATTGCAAAGCCATGGAAAAGAGAGAAAACGCTGAGCGGGAAGGGAAGAAAAAAAAATCACATCACTAAAAAGTAGCAAAAGCAAAGATTCTTGCTCCCTCTTGCTCCCTTGAAAGGAAGTTACTTGGTTTTGTACCAGGATGGTAAAGCTTTCACTTTGTCTCCAGGGTGGGAGTTTCTCCTCAGGCATCTTCACACTCTGCTGCTTGAAACACTTCTTTGAGGTAAGTGCCTCCTCTCCTCAATTCTTGTAAATGGCTGACAAAGGCGGCAGCACCTGTTCACAATTACCTTTGCTGGTCTCTTCACCGTTGCTGATCCCCCACTGATGTACGCACACGTGTAACTCGTTTATGTTTCTTACTTTGTATTACACGTCTCTTGGCATCACTTTAACCAGAGAGGCACATGGGTTGCTTTAGTCTCGCATTACTTGTTGATTTCATTAGCAGCCCAATGAGCTTCTAAAAAGCGATAAAGGGAACTTTCATGGCTCAGTGTTTTGCTCTCTTCCCTCTCACTTCCTTGGCCATTTCATTCTGGTTTTCAGAAGCTCGCCCCATTCAAAGCATTTTAGCCTCAGGGGAGCCATAAATCAAGTAAAAGCTGGCAGCCTCAGTGGCCACTGGCTGACCTCAGGCAAGACATTTTGTAGCCCTCTGTCAGAAGGACACTCCATAAACATGTGCCTGCTGCAGATGTTGTGAAGACACAGATGTAGAAGCAGTAAAGGCATGGACCAAAAGCCTGCCAGAATGGCAGAGATCATCACGATTGTTATTTCTAAAGGCAGCCACAGCTGTACTCAGCACCTCCCAAAATAGAAAGAAGATGTGATCCTTGCAGAGGAGTTTACAAACTCAGAGCAGACACCACAACGGGCTGTGAAGTGTCATTGTTCTGGCTAACAACCTGGCAATGCATGTGGTGTCTGCAGTGGAAGGAGCTAACAGCTGCTTTGTCCTGATCTCACAGAAGTGGGACTATTTCTTTGTTCGAGGAGCAGAAATCCCAAATCAAACCATTATCCAGTCAGGCCACAGTCAAAAAATTCAGACCTGGAAATGCAGCCCAGTCGATAAGCCTTGGGGATTCCTCCTGCCAGCTCTGCAATTGACTTGCTTTGTGATTTTGGAAAGCCATTGCTGCTCTGTATGCCTCATATATAAAATGGGGTTAGTGATGCTCACCCACTTTTGAGATCCTTGGATGGACAGTACTAAGTGAGTGCTGATTATTAGTTAGTCTGAATGTACCCAAATCTCAGAGGTGGGATCAATTCAGGCCCATTGCTATTGTTAGATGACATTTTCCTGCTTTGTTCTTATTTGCTACTGCCTCTGCACGTCCGGGGACCAGCTGAGACCAGACCAAACACAGAGAAAAATGGGACAAGAGCACAGCTCTTTGCCAGAGAAACAGGAGAACCTCTTACAAACCTCAGATACGCCAACCATATCACACACTGCTCCGCAGAATGGCCGGGTCAGCTCAGAACAGAAAAAGCCCAGTAAGAAAACATTTCCTAACCCAGTCCCAATACCTCAGAAATATTGATCCGTCCTTCCTGAAACGAGCAAGTTGTGGGGTCATGAGTGCAAAGGTTCCGATATTTGCACCAATGGCAGCGGAAAGCGCTGTTCACGCAAGACAGGCACCTGTTGAACCAGAGAAAGAAATAAGGTCTGTGTTACAGAGATGATTATCGGGAAATGAACTTGACATTGGAACAGACAGGACTATCCATCGGAATATACACAGGTTTATACATACGAAGAAATGCTCCTGGCAGAAAACGAAGACAAAATTGCTAAAAAATCAGGGACCCAATAACCTGCATGCCAAACACGGCCTCAATTATTTGCTCCTATTTCTGCATCCCTCAACAGTTTCATCTATTTAGACTGGAAGTTCGTTGAGGCAGGGAACAGTGGCGTAGCCAGGTGGAGGGAACAGGGGGAACATAAAAAAAGGTGCCACCCGCTGTGGTGCTTTTACTGATGGGGCGGTGCTTTTACTCACCCGGCGGCGCTCCAGGTCTTCAGCTGCACCTTGGCAGCGGGACCTTCACTTGTTCCGCAGGTCTTCAGCGGCATTTCCTTCAGTGCCACCGAAGACACCCGGAGCGAGTGAAGGCCCACCGCCAAAGTGCTGCCGGGTGAGTAAAAATTTAAAAGGTGCCAAGATGTTCAGTGGGGGAGTGGCCGCCGCCCCGCTCCCCCTCTAGCTACGCTACTGGGAACAGTGGACGTACGTATCTGTGAGGTGCCTAGCACACTTTTGGCACTACAGAGGTAACAGATAATAATGCAATGTTAAGTTTAAGAAATCAAGCACTCTAAAGCCCAGGATTCTGCCCCTCATGCTCTAAAATATAGCCAGTCTTTACATGACTTATTAATACAAGCTGAAGCATTTTTTACAACATGACATAAGGTACAAGAAAAAACAATACAGTGCAATCTTGACTGATTTTAAACCTCAATGGTATCTACAAACAAGCCAGGTTTGAAGAAAATTGGCTCACTTGTTTTCAAAAATTGGAAATATTTAAAGTCATTAACTGTAAACATTTCTATTTGGCCTTTTTCACTCCAATTCAAACCTGGAGCACATTAGATCGCTCGGGGCACAGCAAGCATCTGCGCTTGATGTCCGATGAGGCCAATGGTGCAGGACATGGTTTTTGACATGGGGTGAGCCTGCCAGTCCAGGAACTGGCTGAGTATTTACTACCTCACACCTCCTAATCTGCTGACAGTGAGCTGGGTGACAATTGTTGATATTTGCAATAAAGCTTCCTTTGGTCTCAGAAGTGGCTCTCCTATGTGACAGGCCATTTCTTAGAGCAGGTCTATACTAGGAAATTAGGTCGGTATAACTACATTGCTCAGGGGTGTGAAAAATCCACACACCCCCAGTGACACAGTCAAACCAACCTCCCCCACCCTGTAGACAGTGGGTAGGTTGACAGGAGGATTTTCCCCTCGCCCGAGCTACCGCCTCTTGGGGAGGTGGGGTACCTATTCGACAAAACTCCACCGGTCAGTGCGGGTAGTATCTTCATCGACATGCTATCGCGGCGCCACTGCAGCATTTTATGTGTAGACAAGCCCTTGGTGACTGTCCATTGTCAGCATTTCGTACGGTTTCCAGGGATTCTCAATGACCCAAAGGCATGGACTGTGTGACTGAAGGGGGGATATGAACCCCTGTTCGTGTACTGGACAGACAGCCAATGGTCTGTTATTTTCTTTCTAAAGTTACTGTCACTAAAATGCATATTTAATGGCTTCTCCTTTTTACTTCTGAGTTGTATTTTCCTTCTTAAGCATCTGTAATGACCTTAATAGCTAAGGAAGCTTATTCTAATCATGAAAATGCAAATCTGGATAGCAATATCAAGCACCGTGAGCTTATATAATTACTCCTTTATTTGACCCATTTCTGTCTCCATTTCGGTTTGCCACACTCCTGCCCTCCCACCTTGGACCTGACCTTTAGCTTTCCGATCTGGGATAGAAGGGGCTCTTTGCTTGGTTTAGCACGGCTGAGATTACAGGAGGAGGGTCATTCTGATGATCAAGCCCAAGAGTTTGGTTAGGCGCCTGTCATTGTAATGTGTGGTTTTCTTGCTGCTGCCTCAGCTCCACTCTGTCTCAGCTGGGAAGGGGCAAAGGTTGGACAGGGAGTCGCAGACAAGTGACTTCTTGAAAGCTCATCCACAGTGAGTGGCTCGGCTCTTTCATGAGGAGAGTTTCTCACACAGTCGCTCCCTCACCCCAGCAAAGTCCCCTCAGAAAGCAGTTTCCATTTAAAATAAAAGGGTCCCCTTTGCTTCTAAACCAGGAAGCATCCTTGCCCCACGGCATCTGGGAACCTCTCATTCTGAGAAAGGGCTTAGTCCCTGCTAGAAATGGGCCCCAAACCAGAACCATTTATCAGATTCCCCAGCCCTCCCTTGAACTTTGTGGGCCACTTGCATTAATGGACCCCAGATCCAAACCATCCCAGCTTTTAGGCTTGCAAAACAAGAAGCCAACTGATGAGGGTTAGCAAAATCACTCCACCCCTGCAGACTGCCCCCGTTTGACAATGTACTACACACAGCTGGACGTGCCATCTGTGAGAAACAGCAGAGTTCAGCACACTGCACCTACCATAACCCAGAGAAGGAAAAGTCATTCCCCACACCGCTATGCAGCCAGAAGGGGCAGAGTATCCTCCACTCCCGAAGTTTGCCAATGGGCAATGTCTCATCCAGGGGCTATGAGCTGGCCTTCTCTCTCTCACGTGATTGGTGAGCTTTCTTCCAGCATGCCTGACTCATGCCCCTGGTGAACTCAGACAGCAGCGCAGGGCAGTGTAGATTTTATGGAAGACACACTTTTAGCACTTTGCCTTTAAGAATTAGTCACTTATGCCATCTCTGACCCCTGGTGTAATTTCCTGTTAGAAAGGGATGAGGGCAGAGTAGACTTATTGCCTCATCTGGTTCAAATCTCCACTCCCAGGTAAGGTTAGGAGCAGCAGGAACTCCAGCCAGATCTCCGGAGGGGACATCCTTGTTCCAGCCAAACTGGTGGCAATTCAGGGAAGAGCAACAAGACTGCATAAGAGACTTGAAGGACGGATATACAAGGAGGGGAAGAGAAAGGTTGCTAAAATCCATTACGCTTGGCTAAGGGATGAGGAAGTGGGGACATCACTGTCTACAGGGATATGAAAGTACAGGGGAGAGCATGCAGTCTGGATTTGCCGATGGGCTATAACTGGGAGTAATGAGACCCATCTATTGAGGGACTCATATTGGCACTATCTCGGTAGTGCCTGAGCTGAAGTTAAAGGCAAAATGTAGGCTGAATGCCAGGAAACGACATGAAAGCCAAGCTTACTAGACTGTGGAAGAGTCTCCCAAAGGAGTGGGAGAAGCCCCATTACCTGGGTCTTGAAAACTAGGCTGGACAAAGCAATGCTGAATAGAAAAGGAGACGACCCTGCTTGGACACTCCTTGGCCCCTGCCAGCAGGATAAAGCAGGCAGGGCTAACAGAGCATTTCCAGCTCTAACTTCTACCATTCTGGAGCCAGCTGTCCAATCCCTGGCAGTAGGAGCTGCTTCCCCAGCAGAGCAGTTCAGGTCTGCCTTTCATTAGCTGGTCTTTGGCACGGTATTCACAGTCTCCCGTGTCCTGCACATGTTTCACTTTGGTTGTGCGAGGTTTCGGTTTGTCTGTTCCCACTGAGATATCTATAAACACTTCAGAAATTTTAACAAACTCCAGCCAGCAGCGTTCTGCCTCAAGGGCTTCCGGGGGAAAGGCTGCTGTGGGGAACACGCTGCTGCACTGCTCAGCCATCTCAAGAGCAGATTGAGAGCCAAGAGGCACCTGTGTCTACTGTCTGCCCTGCCTGAGGCAACTGACAGGGCCTGTACTCGCCTGCTACGATCTTTTACTGTGAAGCTGAAAGGAGCTCAGAGCTTTGTGGGGCTTCTCTGGCCTGATCTTAGGGGAAGGAGACGCAGCAAAGGCGCCATCTCTAGTAGAAACGTTTTCTCCCTGTGTGTCTGAAAAACAAGCTGAACAGCAAACCCCAGCCTAGTTCCCTTCACTCCCCGCCTGTGCTCTCCTGGCACAACCACCCTGCCCCATCCCCCTTTGTCTTCCTTTTGAGAGTCGACAACAGAACACATCCCTGCACTGTCTTAGCGGTTTATGGAGGGAAAGGCCTCTGAGTCTCCTATAGATACTTGCAGCTGCTTTATAGGGAACTCCCAGGCACTTTCTTCTCTCCCTTTCCCCCCAGCTGCCTGTGAGAAAGGATGGAGTTGAGCTCACAGTTGCAGGATCATGCAGCTTGGGGGCACCAGCAGGTCAAGCTTCTTTCAGACACATTCATTCTCTGCTAAGGCAGATAAATCTTGGTGCTCTCGGAAAAGTTTCCACATGATGGGGATCTCTTGGTTTCTCTCTGTCGCTGACGACCCTGAAAGGTCAGACTGCCAGCATCAAGCCAGAACCTCCCCCAGGGCGTGACTGAAAATCTTATTCCTCTTCTGTTTTAACCCTCTGTGCTGCCCCACAGCATTTGGCCGATGTCCATCTTGGTGGCGCAAGAAGGGCTCTTGGTGGCACAATACACCTCAGAGCAGTTCTGTAGTCTGGCACGGCACACTGGGTGTCCTGGGAGGAATCCTGTCTCCCTGGGGTGTGCATCAGCTGTGGCACTCAAGAGGTTAATAAAGAAACCCATTCCACTATGTACTTGGACAGCAGGCTCCATTGTGGGGGGTGGGGGGGGAATAACCAGGGGCCTGGGTCTGGGATGCTGGTGGGGAGGGAAAGTGGGAAAGGAGAGAGAGGGTGTCTTACAATTGGTGAGCACTGCAGTTGTAGAATTTGAACTCCGTGCTGACGAACATCTTGCCTGTCTCCTTGGATTTCAGCTGGAGCTCCAACCCGAACCAGTCTGGAAAGAGAGGTGGGAGGGGGATTACACCAGAAATAATGGCGATTGTAATGGATGAGGTACTGGTTTTCTCTCAAGGCAGGCTTGACGATTCGCTGAGCCCCCCCACTTCTGGTGTGGTGTGGAGAAAATCAAGCACCTCTGGTCCCACTGGTGCACTAGGACACCAGGCTGCACCGGGTCTCTGAAAGCTAAGGGTCTCTGAGCAGCCAATAATCCACACACTGTGTATCCTCTGGGGACGTCAATGGAACATGCCGTGCTGTTCCATGGCTGGCCAGTGGAAGCTGCTACGAGAGCATGACACGGCCTGTCCCAAAGCTCCGGGGAAGCTGAGTCAACTGGCTCCATGAACCACCCCCCCCACAGTCAAATCACACCTAATGAGGTGGGAAAACACACTAGAGAGGTAGGTTCGCACTCCACCTTAGGTCACAAGTGAAATGAGTGTGGTAGTCTCATCACATTCCCTAGAGGAGGTTTCCCTTCAGCATAAACTCACCACAGGACTGGGGATAATTCACAGTCTATCCTGAAATGCAGCCCAGGATGGGATGTTGCAGGCAAGGACTGGAGGGCATTAACAGAGCTAAATAAGGGCTCACCATTGGAATAATCAAGAATAAACTGCACTAGCTGAGCTGTGCGAGGGAGGTTTGCTCTTCACTTTCCTAGCTCTCTCCAAGCCCCTAACTTTCACGAGCACTCAAATTCAACATAACATTCTACATATAGGAAAATATCAGCAGGAAAGCACAGATGACACCTGGAAGCGCGCCAAGGAGAAAATGAGTTTAGAACAAGTAGCATTCTGGTTCTGGAGAGAGGGAGAGGGGGAATATGACAGCAGTGACATTAATGAAGAAACAACCCAAAGATCAAAACCAAAAAATAGAAACCTCATCCACCTACTCACAGCGACTGAGTCAGGCCTGAGTGCAGCAACCCCCACACTTTCACCTCCCACATCTGCCTAGCATGAAGGGTGAGTTCCCTGGTGGGATGAGAGACAAGAAGGTAGCTGGCTTGAAGATTCCCCAGTTATTGGGGTTTCTTGGACACAGCCTATATCCTGAGGATCTGGGTTGGTACCGGATAGCCACTTCCGACCCCATTCCTGGATGGTTTGTCATCCCGCACAGCATCACCGGGGTTCAGGCAGGATTGATATACAGCCCAGTTGTGGTCTGCTCTACTCTGCCTGGCAGCTAGATCTAGACCTGCTCAGTACTTGCTGGCTCCTCTCTCCCGTGAGGTGAATAGACAGGCGAAACGCAAGGCCACCAGGCAATCATGAAATCAGCTCACCTTGGTCCACAGGAATGGCGGGGACATCTTTAGGGGCCGGTGAAACGCAGACAACCTGGCTGCCGGAAACTTGGCCTTCCACCTCAGTGAGGTTTCCAAACAAACAGGTGATTCCAGCTGACAGGTCTGGAGCATCACTCACCAGCAGGCTGAGCTGGAACAAGGGAAAAGGAGAGAAAAACAAAATACAACCAAGATCCCATTAGCAGTCAGAACTACCCAGAGTTCCTTTTAGATTTTCAGCACCTGCTGCTTCTCTGTGGAGCATCAACCCTACGCAGAGAAAAAGACCAGACATGTAGCACGCAGCCACTCCTTTCACTGTAACCAGAGGAGGAAAGGTGGACAGTGTTGCAATTTTTTTCTCCACTCATATATGATGGCCATACAGTCCCCTCTTTAGCCAGTCCCTGGGAAAAGGGTGGCAGGTGTTCTGGGACCTGCCTGTCCCAGTGCAGCACCTGGAACAGAGCAGGTGGGGAGGATGTGCAGCCGCTTAGAAAGGAACAGCTGGGAGCCTATGGGCAGCTAGATCCTCCCAGAGGGACAAGTAATGGCAGGGAAAAGAGAAACTTTTCCTTCAATGTTTAACGGAGGCTGGCAGTTGCTCAGTGAAAATGTGGGCACTGGGGCTGGATTTGGGAATGTGGGTGTCTGTGTGACCTCTGACTCCCTTCCCTTACCAACCCCTTCATGAACCTGAACTCCATGTTCATGGGAAAGTATCTGTAGGGGAAAAAAATGGCTGTCATTATGATTCTGAGCCTGTGTGTCTGGAGCACTGTCTGTCACAACTGAGCTACCCTGGCCCATGGGACTGAGGGCCTGCGCACAGAATCGCCTGCCACGTGTACCTACCGGAAGGCTGTGCTCAGACACAGAGATGCTGCTGGGCTGCACAGTGACACTCATACACTGGTTGATGCTGGCTGCAAATCGGTACGGCTCATCTGCTCGCTCGCACTTGTCCTTCCGGGAGCACCTGATATACACACAAGTGTCAGTGCAAAGGGACACCTGATGAACATATCTCTGTCTGTCAAACAGCAGGGGGTGCCACTGTTGGTCAGGACTGTGGTGCAGCAGCAGAGCTGTCGGAGCGGAGCCCAGCATTGGCTGGATAAGTGCAGCAACAGGGGATAATAATGACCAGGACTGAGGTGCATCGACAGAGCTCTGTGCACAGATTCCGGGGCCAGTATAGCAGGTGCAGAGGCTGCAGATCAGAAAAGAAATGCACTAGCAGACACATTTGGGGTAGGGAAGAGCAAAGAGCCCGGGGATGAAAAGACCATTGGGTGCGGCTAGGAGATGTGCACAGTCCTACCCAAACTGTGCCTGATTTTTAGCAGTGTTGAGCACCCACAGCTCCCACAGACTTCAGGTGGATCTGTGGGAACTCAGCATTTCTGAAAACCAGACCCACTATATCTGGCTCAGATCAGCACTCTGAGCTCCTCATTTCTGTCAGCAACAAACTCACAATCCACAGGCTACCTTAAATAGAAAGCAATAAAAGGCATTAACAAGACAGCACCTGCACTTTAATTAAAAGAAAAACACGCGGCTAATAAATCTTCTCTTACAAAGCCAAGGGTCTTGAAGTGCTGGAAGCTGTAATTTCTTATCCCGAGGCTGGAGACACTAGAGTTAAGTTCAGTTGTCATGCCCGAATCTCCCTGACTCTCCCCACCCTCCTTCCGCCTCGCAAAGAAACCATTAAGTGTGCCAAGCTGAATGATGAGTGCTGCTCCTGGAGTGTGCCGTGCTGCGTGCTCATCACCAAAGCCATTTCGCTGTGGAGAACCTCAGTGTGGACTGAAATTCTGATTCACAATCAGAGCTGCTCTCTGAATCAGGAGAGGTGAAGTAAAAAGGGCTAATCAGTTCCCACCTCCGGACTGTGCCCCATGATTGGAAATTAAGGAGCCATTCAACAAAACAGAGGACTGAAAATGCTATCCTGCAGTATGCGGAGTCAAGCTGTGACCCTCCCTGCAGCTGTAAAGCACGTTTATTAGGGCAGTGCTTAGGGATCAATCCAGATTGGGGCCCCATTGTGCTAGGCACTGTACAAGCACAGAAGGGTAGGGAGTCAGAGGCTGGATAATTTTATGACCATCCGTATAATTGCGGTTACATAAGCTAATATAAAGGGGCCAACTACAGCCAACTGTGGTGATGTGAACACCTGTTCACTAGGAACCGGATAGAGACTCAGCAACTTATTTTACACAGAGCAATTACCATTAAAGTAAGCATTACCAGCTGTCCCTGCATAGTGGTATCAGAGAAGTAGTACAGTGCTCTTCTATCCTATGGTATACGGGGAAAGCAGAGTCTTTCAGATTCCACTATATAGTAGTGGCTGGCATATGTTGAATTTTATTGGTGTCAACGAACAGTCATCAAATGATATCAACTTTCACTTACTGTTAACCTCCGAATGCCATTACCAGTCTCCTGAGACCCCCATTCAAGTGCTTTTCTAAGCACCCATTTGAATGTATTTGTTACTTTAAGCAGTAAAGTGAGTGCTCTTCTCCCACTTAGGACTGGAGTCAGTGGAAGGAATACTCAACACAAAAGCAGGTTTGGCGGTTTTGTTTTCCTTGTGGCAGGGCTGGGTGCAATCTTAGGTAAACATCTACATTAGCAGACACATTGACTGTTCCACAAAGAGTCTTAATCTCCCGGTGCCAAACCTCTCCTAAATGAGGTGACAAGAGCCTGGCAAAATAGGGACTCAAACAAAAAAAGGGAGCTACCTTCATTGCTGAAAGGCTGTTTGCTTCTGAATAAGAAAAGCACTGAGGTTCCCACTTTCCCTTTCCATACCTGACAATTGATGTAGCTGTCCTCCCCCTCCCCCCCACTTTCCCTTTTTTGGAATATAATAATGGATCTAAATATGAATGCTGCTAAAGAAAAGAATTATTGCGGTTTAAGTGAATCTGTAAGATAGCTTGAAAGTGAGCTCTTGACTGGAGCCTTTATCTCATTGACTCACTGGAATGGCTCTTTTTTATCATACTATTTATGGCAACAGCCCTAACAGAGATAAATAGGTCTGTAGACAATAACATACTTGCAGAGAGCAGCATATAGAGAGAGCCTTGCAGGTTGCAAATTCCACTGGACCAAGGATACTCAATCTCCTTGAGGCCTCTGCCTACCTCCCAAAGAGCAGAATTGCTGGAGGAGGAGGAGTAAAAATTAACCTCTCTGTCTTGATTATAAAGTAAAAGAGAATGAATGGAGATCACACCCCAAGCTGGATCTTGGGAATACTGTACATGAGGCAGGTTGCTCATTCTTTTGGATGGTGGTGAACCAAGGGATCCAGCGGCCTGCTAAACCCAGCGTTGAGAGTTCAATCCTTGAGGGGGCCACCTAGGGATCTGGGGCAAAATCAATACTTGGTCCTGCTAGTGAAGGCAGGGGGCTGGACTCGATGACCTTTCAAGGTCCCTTCCAGTTCTAGGAGATAGGATATCTCCATTAATTTATATATTTAAAAGGAATCATACTTTTCCCTTGGCCATTTCTTGTAGGGATTTTTGGAATCTCATGTTATGTCCCAGACTCCTGGAAGGCTTCTTCAATCAAGGTGCAAGACAGTGTGTGCTGTGTCCTTCTCCAGTGGGAAGTCCCCTACCCTGCTACCGCTACCAGCTAATGGATTTACACCCTGAGCTCAAATGTTAGTGGCCTGTGCCGTGGTGTTGATAATCGGTCTATAGAAAAATTAACACCACAATGGATTGGCAGCCTAAAAGGTCTTGGGGCCAGCGGTTGTCTTCCTATTCAGCCCTGCAGTGCCTAAGGGTATGGCTACCCAGCAAGTGGCAGTCTGCAGTAGCAGATTTTAGAGCCCCGGTCTACGCACTCAGGCTCATGCTATGGCGCTCCTCATAGCTGCGTAGACATTGGGGCTTGGGCTGCAGCTCAGACTCTGACACCTAAGAGACGGGGATGGGCTTCACAGCCACAATATCTACCCAGCTGTTTTTGGCACTGCCGCACGAGTCCTGTGAGCCTGCGTCTGACAACCTGGGCTGTGAGCCGTGTTGCCGTGGGAGGCACAGATGTACCCTGACATGTTTTGGGTGCTACCGTAATGTAACGACCAATTGGTAAAGGCGAAAACCTGCATTGAAATGCTTACTTATGAACTACAATGTGAAATCAGACTCAGCTAATCCCCAGTACGCCTCCACTGTATGTTTGCCCAGAGCACAATCTCTTCTAGTCCAATAAATTCCAGGTCTTCCCCTTGCTTCTTCCATCCCTACCCCAACCTGCCTCCCAAAACCTCTGCAGGGGATTAAGTGGATGCAGAAGCTGTTAGTTCAGCTCATTTCACCCTTTTGGCTTTGATTTTTATTCCTCTGTCTCATGGGCTTGTGCAGGTGAATGTATGTAAAGGCATCTCCCCTTGTCGTCCTCTAGATGGAATATAGAGAATTGTGGTTCTGCTTCTGTGTGACCTAATAGATCTGACCCTTTAACCCAAACACAAGCAGCTCCTGCTTTTAGATCCAGAGATCATGGGTTTAATCCCCATGGACGATTTAACCAGGGGCATCATTACACTTAGCTTATAAATTTACACATGCACAGTGCCAAGAACAAAGGGGCACCAATCCCTGACTGGGACCTCTAGGCACAACTGCAATAGTAATATTAAATAATAAACAACAACAATAATAATACGCTGTAGTCACTCAGAAATTGAAGACAGCAGTAGGGAGAGAACTCAGATCCTCCTAATAAATTTGTTAGTCTCTAAGGTGCCACAAGTACTCCTGTTCTTCTTTTTGCGGATACAGACTAACACGGCTGCTACTCTGAAACAGATCCTCCTGGTCACTTAGAGTTTTATGGCAACAGTGGAT